CACCATCCCAGAGCCGGGACACAGTCCAATATTTCCATGTCACTAGTCCCCTGCAGAGCAGCAAGCAGGACCCGGCCATGGGTTTCATAGCCAGGCTTCAACATGTTTTGTTGAATATGTTCCCTCAAAGGGCCTGAACCATGTTTATAGGAGCATCCCTTGGAGTCCTGGGAGGGCAGGAGCACGCAGAAGTACTGGTCCTCTGGCGCCTGGGTTTACTTTGCGGCACCCACCTCTGTTTCCTCACCAGCAGCACCGCGTCAGGCCTTGGATGCGTAGAGGGTAAGGCTGGAACAAAGCTGCAGTGACTGGCCTTGTTGTCTGCTCTTGGATTCTACTCCTGAGTTGCAAAACAGAAGTGCTCAAAAGCCTTGTTGAGGCATTCTTGCAATAAGGCCCAGGTCGTGGGAGTCGGGAGGGCTCAAGGTCTCACATCGACGGCCATCTTAGCTTTCGAGTAGCGGGAATCCAGCTCTGTGGGGATTGTTATATCTGGGATAGGTGGGTGTGACTTCACCCCAGTCCATTAGTGGGGCATGCTCTGTCCTTGCAGTTGACCTGATAGCAAAGAGAGCGGCCACCTCTCCCCACCTCAGCCTCCCACAGGTCGCAGCTTAGTTTCCCCATAGAATCACCAACCACCGGCTGTAAAACTACAAATGCGGTGTTCATGGCTCACTCAAGGATGCACAGAGGATATCCATCTAGTTGTTTATGGTCCAGTCTAGCTCCCAGAAGGGTTTACCAACATCTACCTCAACTCCAGGGAAAGGCACACCAAACTGACCTGCAAGTGGAATTACTACTCTCATAGATCATGAGATGATAGCATCCATTAATATGACCTTATGGGTTGTTTCTTTTTAACAGAAGATACTTGTTCAGAGTTAATGTCATCCAATAACGTAGTAAAATTTTACTTTTATTACATATGCTCTTATGGAAGCACAACCAGGAGCAGAAAATATCAGTTAGTTAAGATACATTTTACATTTTTAACAAATCTCTTCTCCTAATTATTAATGTCCATATAAAGTTTCCTTCATCTGAAGACTAACAGGGTCATTAACTGAAGTGAAGACAATTGACAGGAATTCATAGTGAATTCAATTTGAATTCCAAACGAAAAGACAAAATGGCTAAACTGAATTTTTTTTTTCAAATTTCGCTATTTTTGCCTTGAGACTTTATACTTTTTTGAGACTCAAATTTCCTTACTTGCAGCATTTAAAGCATCTCTATCACCTTTTTTTTTTAAATTGCTACACATATATTCCTGAGGTCCCTGTTTTTAGCGCTTAATTTTTCATAGGTTTTTACTATTTTAAGTTACTTTTCTTTACGTATAGTAGTAAAGTTAACAAAACCTGAGAAAGGGTAGAGCTTTACTTCCGCTCCACTTCCTTTGTCAAATCTGGAGAGGAGATTTAACCCAGTACCTTCTCTCAGGAACAAGTCTTGCATGATGTCACATCCAGCAAAGTGAACAAAGTGCTTTAATTCACCTTGTGGGGGGCAAGGGAGCATTTCAAATAATAGAAGGAGGGGAATGGGGGGGGGGGGGGGGGAAGTATTTTAATAACATCCGATGACAAATGGTGTACATTGGAGGGGGTAATACAGCTAAATAAACAAAATTACAGGTCCACTAAAAGACTAGCAAATAGCAGTAATATGGAAAGAAATGCTTGTACAACATGCTTTTAATTTGTATTGTCCTCTTCATTGATGAGAAAATTGTCTAAAGGCCATAGTGTGGAAAGGCATTCAGCCAATGTAAGAAGCAACCAATTCCTTAGTTTTCATAACTAAGTAGTACCAGTTGAGGAATAGTTGTCAACTGGATCAGTTTTAGGAGGTCATCTGGATTAACCTGCTTACAGTACCCGGTGAAAAGAGGTTGATTGATGATATGACTGAAAAAGGGTTTTTCAGAGCAGATTCTATAATTAGAACCATGTGTATCTTTAGTAGAACAACTGATACACTACATCGTACTCCAGCCTTACTTTTATTTGGCCCACTTTAAGTATTTAATTTTAATTTAGAGTTATATATGACAAAGGACAATTCTTCTCTATTTACCCTCATCCTCAAAGTACATGAGTACTTCTCCTAAACACAATTATTTTGGACCCAATGTTCCGTCTGGCCTTCAGACCCTGAAAAATTGATACAACATGATTTAGTATATGGGATGGAACTTGGATGATTGTACTAACATATTATGAGCTATAGCCGTCTGATGTAAAGTGAAACCCAATATATCAACCTTTGTCAAGATTTCAACAACCAAGGTTTGGATGGAACAATGACTGTAACTCAAAGTTAGCTTGACAGAGACATGGCGCTAATTCAAATGTGCCCCAGATGTTTCCAGAAATTGGATACAATCTTCTCAACTGATGAAACGATGAAGTATATTTAGTATGTACACGCCATATAATCTGAAGAGCTGCGCAAAACGTGTTTGCTCTCTAACTAGAGCAAATTAATTCTTGTGTATAATCAGGCCTTTACTGACAAATATTTAGAGGCATACATATACCTGGGTTAATTATCTGCATTTGTGTGTTTTATACTTTTTTTTCTGGCATTTTCTCTGTAGTCTGTAGTGGCCTGATCTACAGTTAAAGTGGACACTAAAATCAAGCAAAAATGTTTTCACTTTTTTTTATTGAGTTTTAAAAAATTTGCCTGTATTGTTCATTTTATTAAGCTGTTTTCCCTACATAGTATTTTTTGTAATTAACCTATAAAGTTATAGAACTCATTATCTACATAAATCCTTTTACATCACCCCCGACAACCCTCTTGTTTTGGTCTACGCTGATCATAAATGTTTTCCCTGGCAGATAAAAAAATGTCAATCACAAACATCTTCTTGGAGTATGGTGAACACTGAATGAAAGATTCACTGAATTAAAGACTTTTCTGACACAGACTTATTCAATTCCTAATGTAGGATAGTCTATTCAATAAGAAAAAAACATTGGCTTCTACTACTGCCAATAGATTTTTAAATTCATTTTTTTGCAAAAAGAAATAAAAAACATGGGACACTGCCCATAGCACCCATTTGGACAGTACTCCACTGGTGCTGTATGGGTTAAGAGCACTGCGAGGAGTTTTTAAAAATCCAATATGATTTATTATGTTAACACAACAGATTTATTTACACTCTAGATGTAAATAACATTTTTTATTGTTCTGATATCCAGTGCTCCATTCACACCATATCTGAGAGATGTCTTTGGACTGGAAACCATCTTCTTGGAATTGAGATCATCATTTTCTGACTTCAAGCGATATTGAAGGCCAAGCTACTCCATCCTGGAAACCAGAAAGAATCTTCACTTACAATGGGCTCTACTGACTTGCTGCTCCCTTTCAGGCTACGCTATAGAATTAGGAAGACTTAAGAACCCAAAAATTAGTTTTCAACCTCAGAATATCTAAGAATTCTACTTTATTGTCTTAAAAGGAACACCACAGTGTTCCATAGTTGTATTCCTAACACTATAGTTTAACCTATCTATGCTAGTGACACTCCCCCTCCCCCACCACCTCCGCCTCTGTGTTAGGGCTCAAATGGTGTGTTTTGTTTGCCTTTCAGCCTTCGCAACGCCAGTGTCCATGAGGAAGGTTCACCTCCTTGGCTGAGATCATTGATCTCAACCAATTCAGTTTTTTTCCCCAAAGGAAAACAAAGGGAGGCTAGTGCACATGAGGGGCAAAACCAATCAAATGGTCTCTATGACACCATCTGATTGCAATAGCTAACTTTCGTCTTGAGCGACTCTAGTATCTGTTCGAGTGACAGTCACTAGAGGTATTTAAATCCTGCAATGTAGACATTGCCATTCCTGCAGAACAGCAATGTACATGTGCTCTGAGCCAGCAAAACACTACAATCAAATCCTTCTTTATGAGAAGCATTTCATTGGACAGTACAAAGCCCTTGATCACGTCAGACAGGGAGTGGCGATCAGTGATGGGAGCTCTGCCAGGCACTGGATTACAGAAAGTTTTAAAAAAATTCAGGTTTCAATGAAGGACCTAGGTAGGAATATGCAATAGGGCATTCATTTATTTTTCTATAGAAAAAGAAATGTTAAAAAAGGTTACTGTAACCCTTTAAATAATACAGAACCCTTGCATGTATAAAGCAGTAAAGTATCAGGCACACATTTTGGCAGATAGCTCAAAATTAAAGGGACACTATAAGCACCAGAACAACTTTAGCGTAATGAAGCAGTTTTAGTGTATAGATCATGCTCATCCAATCTCACTATTCAAATATCTGCCATTTAGGAGTTCAATCACATTTGTTTATGTTTATGCAGCTCTAGCCACACCTCCTCTGGCTGTGACTGATGCAGTATACATGAAAAGTGGTGTTATTTTTAATCAGATGTGACAGCACATTGTGCTTACTTGGTACATTTATCTCTCCTGCTCTGTTAATTGAACTTTAATTATTAATTATGAGTCTCCCACATGCTATTAGAGCAGGATTCTAAAAGACATTCTAAATTAAACAGAGTGTGCAATAAAGAAACTTTAAACATTAGACCTCTCCTAAGAGGAAATGTGTAGGACAGGGATAGGCAACCTTCGGCACACCAGATGTTGTGTACTACATCCCCCATAATGCTCTAACACCCATAATGCTGGCAAATCATCATGGAAGATGTAATTGTAGTCCAAAACATCTGGAGTGCCGAATGTTGCCAATGCCTGGTGCAGGAAGACAGTGTAGGTCACATGCCCGGAAGGTGTAACTAGGGCTGCATAAACAAAGTGATTTAAAAGTGATATAACCTAAATGGCAGACAATTGAGCAGTTAGACTGCAGGGTCCTGATTTACACACCAAAACCACTCTATTAACCTTAATAAGCTATTGTGCGTATAGTGTCTCATTAAAACACTAGGTGAGGGGAACCATCAAGGTGCACCTGCAATTAAATTACCATGTGTTCTCATTCTATATATTGTCTTTCAACAGTTTTTCTAACTTCAGATTCACAAGAAAGCAAGACTGATGGTCTACCATGCCAGGCAAGGGAATAACACAATGTGGTGATGCTGGTTGGCTGAACTTCTGTATACTGGGGTATGCCAGATCCCTGCAATATCCCAGATCTATTTCCAGTAAAAAGTTCTAAAATAGGTTAAGATGAAGCAGTTATTATGGTCTGCATAAGTCAGAGGTCCACCACTGGACCACCAGGGATTTCATTTAATATTTTGCAGATCCAGCAATGTACATGACATCAGAGCCACCATCAGGGCATTACAACCATAATGGTTGTCATGGGCCCAGCAGTCCTGGGGAGCCCGGACTGCTCTGGGACAGAGCCGTCACGTCCTATAGGCGACTTAGGCAGTCCCCTAGGGCGCACTGGCCTGGGGAGCACCAAATTTGAGTGACCAGCAGGAGGGTAGTGCACAGCGCTACCCTCCTACCAGTCGCTTAGTGTAGCATGGCCGGGCGGCGCAGACCGTGGTACTGGATCATCTCATTGAGAGAGTGCTTTCTTTCAGTCCGTCTGGGTACAACAATCAGAAGGCCGCGCTACAAAGATAGGTAGGAGGCAGAACAGGGATGGAGGATAACACTAAGGGGGGGTGGGGGGGAGGGAGGGAGAACCACTAAGGGGGACCACCAAAAGGAGGGGGGGGAGGGAGGACCACTAAGGAGTTGGGGAGAGGGAGGACCACAAAGGAGTTGGGGAAAGGAAGGACCACTATGGGTTTTGGGGGTTGGAGGGGGAAGGAAAGGGAGGACCACTAAGAGGGGTGGGGGAGAAAGGAGGACCACTAATGGGGGAGGGAGGACCACTGGGGGGGGCAGGGAGGGCCACTAAGGAGGGGAGGAGGACCACTAGGGTGTGGGAGATAGGGAGGACCACTAAAGGGGGTGGGAGGACCACTAAGGGGGGGGAAGAAGGACAACTTGGGGTGGGGAGGGAGGACCATTGGGGGGGGACCACTAAGGGGGTGGGGAAGAGGACCATTAAGGTGGGGGGCATGAGAGGACCACTAAGGGGGGAGGAGAGAGGACCACTTAAGGGGGAGAGAGGGGGGAGTAAAGGGGATCACTAGGAGGGGGGAGACGATTAAGGGACAGGAAATGGAGAGAAACACTGAGGGAAAGGGAAGAGAGGGGAGAGACCACTAAGGTACAGGGGGCTGGAGAGCTCTAAGGATGGAGGGGACAGCTCTAAGATAGGGAAGAGTACTAAGAGACAGGAGGAGGGAGCTCTGAGGGATGGGTGTGCAGAGCACTAAGGGATGGGGGCAAGGGAGAGCACTGAGGGACAGGAGGGGAGGGGAGAGCACTATAAAAAAATAAAATAAAGAGCTGCTCCCCTCTCAACCCCTATCCTACCCCACAAAGAGGGCCAGACTGGGGATACAAAGCAGCCCTGAAAAAAAATCTATGCTAGCCCCATAAGTCATCTCACTGACACAAGCTCATTAATACAGAGGCTTACAGACAATTTCATTGATATACATAAGCTCATTGACATAAAAACACAAGCTCACTGATGCACACAAATAGGCTCACTGACAGACAATCTCAATGACACACACAGAAAAACTTACTGGTACACACATACAAATTTAGTACAGACAATCTCTGATACACACACACAGAAGCTTACTACAGACAAGCTCACTGTCACACACACATACACGCGCACTGACGCACACACTCTCCCTATAGACAAGCCAATTGACTCACACATGCTCCCTACAGAAGAGCTCACTAACACACAGATTCACTACAGACAAACTCACTGACACACACATGCTAACTAGAGACAAGCTCACTGACACACACATGCTCACTACAGACAAGCTCACGGTCACACACATGCTTACAACAGACAAGCTCACTGCACACACATGCTCACCACAGACAAGCTTACTGACACATGCAGATACACACACACACACACACACACACACACACACAGAAGCTCACTCATTCATTGGCAGATGCACAGACACACACAGATGCTCACTCACTAGCAGGCACACACACACAAGCTCACTCACTAGAAGGCACACACATAAACTCCCTCAATAGCAGATGCACACACACACACAGACACAGACACAAACTACTCACTAGCAGATGCACACACACACACACACAAACAGAAGCTAACTCACTAGCAGATGCACACACACAAAAGCTCACTCACTGACAGATGCGCACACACACAGAAGCCCAGTGCTCACTCACTAGCAGATGTGCACACACACAGAAGCTCACTCACTAGCTGATGCACACACACACAGAAGCTCACTCACTCATTAGCAGGCACATACACACGGAATCTCACTCACTAGCAGGCACACACACACACACACAAGCTCACTCACTACCAGGCACACACACACACATACTCCCTCACTAGCAGATGCACACACACACACACAAAACAGAAGCTAACTCACTAGCAGATGCACAAACACACAGAAGCTCACTCACTAGCAGATGCACACACACACAGAGAAGCTCACTCACTAACAGATGCACACACACACAGAAGCTCTGGGGGGCCAGACCTTGAGCTGTGTATGGGGCCCCCAAAAATTGAGCTGCTTCCTGTTTATTGATTTTTGTGAGCACTGTTACAAACAGTCTGCAGAGACCCTCTTCTACTCCAGACCAGTGGAGCCAGACTGCAGCCTGAGCCCATCATCATCCTCTTGTCCTCATCTGGTGGTAAGTAGGCAATCCAGCAGGGCCGCCATCAGGGGATGACAACCATGACGATTGTCATGGGCCCGGCGGTTCTGGTGGGCCGGACTGCTTTGGCAGTCCTAGGCCCCACATTCCCTCTCTGCACATATATAAAGCGATGATCGCTATATATATGTGCAGCCGTGGGCCCCCTGCTCTCTGTATTTGCAGAGGGGACCCAGCAGACTGCAGCAGTACATTACAGCTCTTCCATCTCTCTAACTCTAGTGAGATCCGCAGCTGTCAGAGCATTGCCACGGGTTACCATGGCAACGCTCTGCGCGGCACGCAAGCCAGGCTCGCGGGAGTTAGAGAGAGGGAAGAGCTGTAAAATACAGATGCAGTCTGCTGGGCCCCCTCTGCAAATACAGGGAGCCGGGGGGCCCCATAATGCCACCGGACCACCAGGGAATGGAATCTCCCCCCTCCCTGGACCAGGTAAGAAGCAGGGAGGGGGGAATAACAGTTATAACATTTAATGTGTGGGGGAGCAGGGCTCGAGTCCTGCAGGAACGCATGGGAACGGCGTTCCCGCACTTTTTCCACAGCAGGAACGCCGTTCCCGTTACCTGTCCTGCAGGACCGGCCCTGCTACCTGCACAGAGGGGCCAGCACACGCTGTGTTCCCTCTCCAGCTATAACTCTCGCGAGACCAGCGGCTGTTACCATGGCAACGCTCCGCACAGGCGAGTCTCGCGAGAGTTAGAGCTGGAGAGGGAACACAGCGTGTGATGGCCCCTCTGTGCAGCGGCAGCCTCCCTCCAGCATACCACCGGACCACCAGGCGATCTCCCCCCTCCCTGACAAGGTAAGAAGCAGGGAGGGGGGAATAAAATAAAAAAAATATAGACACATAAAGTTAAAAAAAATGCTCCCCCCCCACACACATCATCCAGCACTCACACACCCATCATCCAGCACTCACACACCCATCATCCAGCACACACACACACACCCATCATCCAGCACACACACACCCATCATCCAGCACACACACACCCATCATCCATCACTCACACACCCATCATCCAGCACACACACACACATCATCCATCACTCACACACCCATTATCCAGCACTCACCCACCCATCATCCAGCACTCACACAAACACCCATCATCCAGCACTCACACACCCATCATCCAGCACACACACACACATCATCCAGCACACACACATCCAGCACCCATCACCCATCATCCAGCACACACACACATCATCCAGCACACACACACATCATCCAGCACACACACACACACATCATCCAGCACACACACACACATCATCCAGCACTCACACAATCATCCAGCACACACACACCATCATCCAGCACTCACACACCCATCATCCAGCACTCACACAATCACCCACACCACACCCATCATCCAGCACTCACTCACACACACATCCAGCACTCACTCACACATCATCCAGCACTCACACACACATCATCCAGCACTCACACACACACATCCAGCACTCACACACACCATCCAGCACACACACACACATCCAGCACTCACACACACATAATCCAGCACACACACACACACATCATCCAGCACACACACACACTCATCCAGCACACACACACACACACCATCCAGCACACACACACACACACACACACACACACATCCAGCACACACACAACCATCCACAGCACACACACACACACACACACACCATCCAGCATCACACACAGCACACACACACACACCACCAGCACACACACACACCATCCAGCACACACACACATCCAGCACACACACCATCCAGCACACACACACACACACACACCATCCAGCACACACACCCATCATCCAGCACCACACACACATCATCCAGCACACACACACACATCATCCAGCACCCACACACACACACACACACACACATCCATCCAGCACACACACACATCATCCAGCACACACACACACATCATCCAGCACTCACACACACGTCATCCAGCACACACACACATCATCCAGCACACGCACACACTGCATTCATTATACACACTCTTCACTCACTACAAACACACTACATTCACTATACACCCTCTGCATTCACTATACACACTCTGCATTTATTATGCACATTCTGCACTCACTACACACTACATTCACTATACACACTCTGCATTCACTACAAACACACTGCATTCATTATACACACTCTGCATTCACTACAAACACACTACATTCATTATACACACCCTGCACTGCACTATATGCATAGGAGTGTATTTTTTTTTTTTTAAAGGGGGGGGGAGGGGGGGACGGTGGGAATCTTGGGTGAGTTCCCACACTTTTTTCCCCAGGACTTGGCCCCTGGGGGGGAGGCAACTGCTACATTTGCACAACATGCATACACTAGTAAAACACACACACTCTGCATTCACTGCACTAACACACACACTCTACATTCACTACACTGACACACACTCT